GCACGAGAACAAAGGAGGGGGTTGCTCTCCTACTATAGGGGATGGCCCTGACCTGTCATTTTTCTCAGCTTTCTCAACTTTCTGAACTCAACACATGCTTAATTTGTGCTGAATAAAAGTTTATACTACAAAGATCACTGCTATGTGTGATCTTTTGGATATTTGACCCTAACAACATTCACTAAACATAATAATTTCTGCCCAAGGGAAAAGAAGTAATGATTACGATTACCTTCCCCTTTAGGAGTATTCAGAAATATATTAGAGCTCTCTTGATAATCTCCTTCTGCCTTCTTCTTGTTATATATGGGTTTAGGGTTTCTTTTTTTAATATTCTATTTATTTATTTATTTATTGCTTGCTTTTTGAGTCACACCCAGCGATGCTCAGGGGTTACTCCTGGCTTTGCACTCAGGAATCACTCCTGGCAGTGCTTGGGGGACCATACAGGATGCTGGGACTCAAACCTGGGTTGGCTGCGTGCAAGGCAAATGTCCTACCTGCTGTGCTATTGCTCCAGCCCCGGGTTTAGGGTTTCTTGTTCGAAGAGAGACCAGTTCCACACTTGAGAATGCAAAAGCAAAGGACCTTCATTGCTAGCTCAAGATAGAGTCCAAGTCTCATCCAACGAAGTGGAGTCTTGACAAGGGCCCTTAGCCCTTATTACACCAGATTTTTATATCCTTAATCACATAAGCATAGCTAGCAGGCACCAACTTTGATCACATAAGCATAGTTAGCAGGTGCTAATGGTTACACTTGGCGGGTTTTTCCAGTAATGGGTTACAGAACAGGACAACAGGACGTATCGCTTACTGATTAATGTAAGAGAGTAGGAACGGGGGTCTTTCCAGTAACTCTAACCACAAGTTTTTGGGTAAGCAGGAACACCGGTCTTCAGGAAACAGAAACTTAGGACTAATTTGCTTCGCAGAAGTGCATCCTGTATGGCTTCTTGTTCTGCCTCACTTCAGCCCTTCACTCTACAAGAATTGTGGTAGTGAGAGCAGATCTGCTGTGAATTGTGGAAAGACTCAACATCCAAAGCCAACTGAATGTTCTCAATTGTTTAAAGATTAAAAACAAAACAAAACAGGAAAGTAGACACAGGTAGTTCTGGTAATCTCTTTGGATCCTCCGTTTAACTTGATTGTCAATTTGAAAAGAATTAACTGATGGTGTGAGGTTGTGTTAGAAAACTCTATGCCTGAAATTCAGCCATGAGTAACTTTGAAAATCATAGTGCCTCAAATTGCTTTAAATAAATAAAATATAAAATTGTTAACTTGCTGGATATTAACCCTAAGTGAATTAGGTTTCATCGGTGAATTGCTCCTTTTCCTCCTTCCAGAGAAGCTTGCCATGCTCTTGCTAGCATCCCTAATTTAGTTAAACTTATCTTTAACCTTTCCTTTGTGTTTTACCTCTCATTGTCACAGTTCTTCAAGTCAGTCTTGATTACTTTATAAGCCAAAAAGTTTCTGGTAATTCTGGACTTCTTCTTTGTAGTGCTTTGTATTTGAAGTGCTGTGTATTTGTACCTGCTTTTCTATTTCCCTATAGCCTTTTTATATTTTACTACAGAGCAGTGTTCTTTGGTTAAACACAGAAAGATCATTAATGCTATGCTTCTAATATTTGGGAGTTGATTAACTCTGAAATGTATCTACTCCTTGGCATTGGTCACAATTACTAGACACAGGCTTCAGTTACTGTAGCTCTTAACACCCCAAAAGGGTGGTCCCACCATAGGACTGGGATGGATCCAGAGCAAGTGGCAAAGCTACTTTGGCATCGAAATGGGACATTTTAGATAGCATAAATGCATGATCTTGATGCAAGCATGATCTGTTATTACTTAAGAGATAGGACCCCAGTGGGGAAGGATAAGCTGAACTGGTCTGAGGACTTAGTGGGACTTACAGTAAAAGCCTTGCCTGCTCTCAGAGCCCAGAGAACTAAGTTTTGGGATCCTTGTCTCTTACTGTGTTTATCCAAACAACTGCAAGTATTGATAACATATACAACTAGAGGGAAAGAAAAAAGCAATGTGGATGTCCCTGGGAGACAGAATGTCTCCTTCAGTTATCTCCCCAAGAGAACTTTCTCTGCCAAATGTTTATCTATGCAAATGATCAATCCTAGGTCCTATTTCTCAATCTCCCTTCAGATGTTATATAGTTCTATAGATATGCTAGCTTAAGGCTAGCATTAAGGAGCCATTTTCACCATCGGGCTGTGGTTTGAAATCTCTCTGTCTCTCTTTGTCTCTATGTCCCTCTGTCTCTCTGTCTCTCTGCCGGGGAGGTTTGGGAGACCAGGGGAGGACCAGGAGAACAGTAGGCTGAGAGGCAGCTCTGGGACATCCACCCATACTTTGTGAAATCATATCGACCCAACACAAAGCAGAGGTCATTGTAGAACTGACATCAACAGTATAGTATTGCCATATAAATTAATGCAAGAGCACTTTACATGATAGTTGAGGGGTCCATGGTGGAATGGAGGTGCTCACGAGGCCCAGGACCAAAACGACCATGATTCTGTAATTGAGAGTAAATTGGGAAATGATGGTGCTGAATACGAAGCAGGGCAACATGGCAAGGGTACTCATAGGAGGATCCTCATGAGCTGGAAAGGAAATGGTCCTATATCAACTTATCTAACCTTTTATTCCTTGCAAACCCCATGTCTTTAACCAAGACTACCTCTAAGTCTTTCACACCTTACTCTCACAATCAGTGATTTCTTATCTCTCCCATCATCTTATCTTCAATAACAGATCCTTAGGGAGGCTGGCTCCATGACAAGTTCCTACCACCTTAGAATGCTTCATAAGATTTTAATATTTATTTACTAGTACCCTTATATAGAATAACCAGTTCCTCATAGCATACAACACAGAAATTAATATGTTAACTGCACAAATAAATCTGGGCTGCTAAATTTCTTTCAGCAGCCTAATGACAGTGAAAAGTATTCCGTGTATGGTATCAGCATCTAGACTCATTCTCATGCGATAAATTTGCAAAATGACTGAAAGTAAGGTAGGACAGGGAATAATTGCTGCAACTCATATGCTTCTGAAAACCTGACAGTATAAACTAGACCTCAAAATTGGTGTCTCCTGACTAAGCATGATTTGTTGCCTAGAGTCTGGAAAGGGTGAGTTTGTAGTGAATAATATATTCATTTGTTTTAATAAAACAATGGACACTTTTAATAACCAGACCAGTTATTAACTGTCCAGTGATTGAGTGAAATATAATTATTTACATTTTTAAGAATTAGTATATGTACAGATATGTAAAAAACAGATGAAGACCTACCCTATAGCTATCTACATGGCAATATCAGCCATAATGCACAATTCATGATATTGCACATAATAAAACGTCAGTGACATCTGGTGGTTACTGACTTAATCAGGCTGGAAGCATCAGAAAGAGTTTACCTCAGGGGCTGGAGCTATAGGTAGGACCGTTTCCTTGCACATGGCCTATTCAGCTTTGATCCCCAGCATCTCATATGTTTAACCAAGCACTGCCAGGAGTAAATCCTGAGTGCAGAGTCAATAGTAATCCCTGAGATCACAAAAAGCCAAAAATAAAGACAAAAAACAGTTTATCTTAAACCCCTGTAAAGTCATACATGAGATTCTTTTCTTAGCTACCCTGCTCAGAAACTCCAGTACACAATAAGTCACCTTTCATAATTTTCCTTGAAGACAAGTACTGTGTTACCTACCATACCTTGCCTTTGAACTATTTTTAATGTAAATATTAATTAATCCATCAAGACTTGCACTAAATACCAATTAATAAGAAATGAAGTAAAATTAAATTCCCATTGGGCTTCAGCTAATTGTTAAGGAAAGAAAAATATTTGATGCTAACAGTACTTCAGTTAATTTCTCTAAAAAGGAAAGTGAATTCCCAGTGGGCAAGGTTAAGTTTTTCTAAGAAAAAAAAACCTGTTGAAGATCCAAATGATACCAGATGTGATCATCATAAAATTGATAATTCATCAGCCCCTATCCTCTATAGATAAACTGCATTCCAGTATCGCATGGAACAGATGTTCATTTAGATTTATTTTTTACTAGTTTTAGTCACACTTCTAGACCATCTTGAGATTATTTAACCTAACAGTTCATTTTCTTTTACAACAAATCACTGCAATAATACAATCAAGTGACACTCAGTTATCCTCTACTAAAATAAAGCATAGTTTGTTTTTAGTTTTTTCAGATACTTTGTCTTTTATATACTTTTGAGAATTTGCAAACTTCCTAAATAAAGAAGGGATTCCTGTGGTACTTTATGTATTAGTTTTGAGAAATACTAATCCCTAGTATTTTTCTAACTCAAATGTAGACAATACAGGAGCCATATAGCACAGTGGGTAGGGTACTTGCCTTGCATGAAGCCAACCTGGGTTCAATTCCCAGCATCCCATATGGTCCCTGAGTACCGCCAGGAGTAATTCCTGAGTGCATGAGCCAGAAGTAACCCCTAAGCAATGCCGAGTGTGACCCCAAAAGAAAAAAATATATAGGCGATACTATGAAATCAAAGATCCAAATGTCTGATAGTTTGCTTCGCTTTGTTTTAGAATAAACCTGGTACTTCTCAGGGGCTGCTAACCAGCGTTGGTTACTCCTGGTGGTTTTCACAGAATCACATGATACTTGGTTCTCAAACCCAGGCCCCCTGCAAACAAATCTTTTGCTCTAGCCTATTGTGTTCTTTCTTCCATCACCAAGGACCCCAAGGTTTTGGGATCAAACAATGACATATTGGATTGTTATGTATTCTTATCAAACAATGACATATTGGATTCTTATATATTCGCTCCAGCCCATATTCTCTTATTAATGTGTTTTCTCTAATGATGTTATCAGTCCAATAATCCACTCCCCTATTCCTGAAGGAGAGGGCAGAAGGACAGTGGAAAGTTTCAGATGGGAGTGGTAGAGTGGAGAAACAGCAGTACAGTACCTGTGAGTGGGAAATATTTGCTTCTAAAATACTCTCAATGGTTTCTTTTGAGATATGAATGGAAGTCTGTAGCTCTTCAGTTAGTTTGGTGACATTCTTCATCAAAGTTTTTACCTTTATATCTGAAAAATAACCAGAAGGAGGAAAATGTTACAATAAAAGGAGACATTTTGTGAAAAATGTGAAAAAAAATACAAGACTGGCAATGTTTGCCTTCTAAGTAAGTCTAGATCATAATATCCACTAGATAAAGTCACATCTTATTCCTCAAAGAGGAATTGAGATAATTTATACTAAAAGTAAAATTAAACCTAAAGTTATATGGTACTTCCTGCTCACTTGTGACTCTAATATCTATATATTTTAGGATTTCCTGTGGAAAGCAATGTTAGAATAATTATAGTTAGGGGAAAAGTGACAAAAGCTTGGGGAAAAAAATTCTTCATTTAGCTACACCTCTCCTTTTCTTTTTATCTATATAAAAATAATAACAATTTTTACTACTAAGAAACTATTAATTTATAGATTGAACCCATGAGAAACAAATTCTCACAGATTTTAGTGTTTTAATTCAATTGAAGATTTTAATGTTTGATGTTTTAATTCACAGAACTGAGATTTACTAAGACCATAGGAGATTTTCTTTCTTTCTCTTTATTTGAGGAAGACAAAATTTTTGGACTTGTTTTATTAATCTTAAAAAGTTAAGCAAAGCTATGACCTAATTTCCAAGTTTTTTTCATTATTACATGTACTATAATGTCCCTTTACAGTTATATTTTGATTATTTATTTGAGAAATGAAACTTAGATCTTAATCAAGTAACCTTAGGGAAACCAAGTACTTACTCTCTGTTATTGTGAAATTCTTCAGAAAAACCATAAAGGGATTCCCTGACAATAAAGTTTTCCCAAAGCTCTGAATCAACCTAGAACGGTATCAAATTACAGTCAAATTAGAAAAGGTAAACCACCAGAAACAATGTGGAATTAGTGACATTGCCTGAATTTCTGAGAGATGAGCTAGATAACAAGATCACAGTTCCAAAAATTACCACAACTAGAGACACAGTATCTTCTGATATCTGCACACCATGAATATTATAGCTTCAATACTTCCTTCTCAGAACCTAACCAGCTAGATGAGTCAGGGGAATGAGGATGAGTAATAATAAATGGTATCTCATAAATCTGAAAAGAATGGATGAAATAGATCATGGAATGTATGAGATATTAAGATATTAAGAAATCAAATGAACATTCTTCCATTTTTTAGAAAAATCTTCGGGCAAATAGAAAGTGTTGTATTTTATATATGGGGGGATTTACTCTATAAAAGTGTTAAATAAAAATGACCCAAATGAATAGCAATTTAAAATAGCTTTGACTGTTCTTTTTGTTGGTGGTGGTGTTATTATTGTTTTAGAGTCACATTCACCTGTACATAGGACTAATTCCTGGGTCTGTGCTCAGGGTTTACTCCTGGCAATTTCAAAGAACCATATGCAGTGCTAGGATTCAGCAAGGGTTAGTTGTCTACAAGATGAGTACCTTAATCTCTGTACTATCTCCATGGCGTCATGTTCTTAGGAAAAAAATTCAGATTCAAGACTAGAAGGAGAGTTCTATAGTGGGACATTTGCCTTGCCTGCACCCAATCAGGGCTCAGTCCCCGGCACCCGATTTGTTCCCTGCAGCCCTGCCATAAGGGATACCTGAGAGCATAGCCAGAAGTACACCCGAAGCACCACTGGGTATAACCAAAATACATATAACAGAATATAACTTTCTATCTTGACACTTAGAATGTAATATCTTGATCTAATTAAGAGAGTTATTGTGAAAACAAAGTTATGGAAACTGTTGATATTCAGAAAATATACACATGTTCATAGATAAGTGATAGCATGTGAATATACTATTGTCTAAAATTCATTTATATAAAGGGAGATATTTCTTTATGGTGCAAAAATACTAAAAAAGACATGAGACAAGTACATGTAGATGTGTTGCTGAACAATGTCTAGTGAGGGTTCACATTCACAATTCTCATCGGTGGCATTTTCCAATCTGTCCTTGAAGCTCTTCAACATTCTAGAAAGATTTCTGCTAAGATCTTCACAATTTCTTTGATCAGGTGAAGACCATATCTTTTCCAATTCCTAGAAAACAGCAATGATATTAATTAGAAACATATAGTTTTTATGAGCTCTTATGTGATTTTCAGATAAGTGGTTGCTTTCCCTGAGTATATGTTAATTTTTAAGTTTTTACAGCGGTAAGGTGTTTGCCTTGTGCGCAGCCAGCCCGGCCGAGCTGGGTTCGATTCCTCTGCCCCTCTGGGAGAGCCTGGCAAGCTACTGAGAGTATTCAATATGCCAAACACAGTAACAAGAAGTCTCACAATGGAGATGTTACTGGACCCGCTCGAGCAAATCGATGAATAACGGGAGGACAGGATATACTTACTTATACTTACTTATTATCTTCATATATGGAAAATCAGACATTTAAGATTGAGAAAGTAAAACCCTATTATCTCCATGCATTGCAGGGAAAAAAACTTTCCAAAATTCCCACTCACAAGAGCAAAGATTGAAATTAATGTTATGAAATACTTGACATATAAAGTGTATAAATGCTGGCTATTCTGCCATACAAAATTACAGCACAGACTAGAAAATGTATTCTGCCGCTCTGACAGTGGAGGGATTTTCAGGATTTTGAGAAAATAATGGGAAAACTCCTCAACCAAACCCTACAAAGAATAATTGAATGCCAGTGTTCAGTTTTATAAAGACTAATTATTTTACTTTAAAAATAAGGACTAAGAGTGGCCAGAGAAATAGTGCAGTAACTAAGGTGCTTTCCATGAATGTGATGATCTGGGTTTAAACTTTGGCACTTTGTGGTCTCCCAAGCCTGCCAGGAATGTCCCCAAGCACAGAGCCAGGAATAATAACTGAGCACCCCCCAGTGTGGCCCCCAAACAAATGAATAACAAAACAGAAAGATTTAGAATACTAACAAAAAGCTAAAATGATTAAATATGCATCTTTCATGTGCAAAATGACCTATGTGCTTAGTTACATCTAAACTGTAATACAAACTAAAAAGTGGTGTACATATAATTACATGTATAGATGTACATGTAACTCTATAAACATTCCTACATATAACAATGCTTCTGTATATAATATACTTCATATCATAAGTTTACTATATTTTACCTGTCACCCTTCTTGAAGTTAGAAACAGGTCGAAGGTTCTACAGGTCATTAACAATTCAGGTTATGAAAAGTGAGGTTGACATATACTTTTTTGTTATATAAAACTCCTAAATATTATTCTGATAACCATCATTAGTTTCTCTTGCAAAAAAAATCATTCATGTGATAGGAGCTAACAAACATATATCAAAGAAAGTTAAATATGAAAGCATTTAAATACAAATATAAAAGAGTTTGGACTTTAGGGTTTGGAGTCTATACTTCTCATGGATTTCTCAGAGAAAAGAAGCATTAAGTTAGCAATCAGATTATTCAAATTCAAGTACCACACTATTCGACCTCAACTACAGAACCTTCAAACTATACCATGAGGAAAAATACAGCCATTAAATTAGCACATAGCATCCTGACTCTGACACACACACACATTATTATTATCATTCCCTTCCAGTTAATTTTTCCCAATTAATCTGAGGGTGAAACATAATCAGAAATTCTACTAAACCACTTGCTCTTTTATTTACTTACAATTTTTAATGAAAACAGTAAGGGTATTAAAGTGCTTTCTTGCCTGCAGCTGACTCTGGTTTGATCCTCGCTGGAGCATGTACTTCATATCATAACCTTGGACACTGCTGTCAGCAGTCATCTTTGATAGCAGAGCCAGGAGTAAGCCCTAAGTACCACCACATATGGCCCAATCCCCCCCCCCCCCCGCCGGAAATATATAGCATGCGTCCATCAAAAGCCAATCACAGTTTAGCTCTAGATCCTAGAGTACAGAATCACAAACACAGGCAATAAGAACTCTGCATCCTAGAGACCTGCTTTCGATAGGAACACAGTAGACAGCCCTGAGCAAGGTAGAAGGGATTAATCAAAAGAGTAACAGGGAGGGAATTGGGTAGAGATTTGAGGGGAAGCTTGACAACTTGATTTAGGTTTGTCTTAGAAGAATGCTGTGGACAAAAAGATTATCAAGGGAAAATGACCTGAGGGTTTCAGGAACCAACACAGTATAAAGGAAACACATGAGAAGGCAATGATAACTATATATGACCTGGCAGGACTTTATTAGACTTTCTGTCCATAGACATTGGTGCATGTCCTGGATAATATTGAGAGACACTACACATTGCTGTCTAGAGGAATAAAGTTATATGATTATAGTTAAGAAGCATTATTCTAGTTAGTGAACTGAGAAAAAGGCTTAGGGGAAGGAAAGAACCAGAAAATTATATCCATATGTATATGTGCATATATATCCAGTAGAGTTTTGAATCAGAAGAAATGGAAAAAGAGCTTGAGGACAAAATATCAGGTTATATGAAATTCCAGAGAATAGAATTGACGGGGTTTTTCTAACAAAAAACAACGGATTAATTAAAATGTAAAAAATAATGGACATACTGTAGGCCCTAGAAACTTAGGACAAAAAAGAGTCCCACAAAAGAGAAAAGTTGTGTGAGTTATTCAAGAGCTGTTTTCAGGTCACTGCTTGAAAGGTCTGATGAAGTATGTATTTAGAGAAAACAGCATTCTGATGTTCAGGGAACTTTTGTTGGTAAGCACTTGCAAGTTGTAGGAATATAAGTAGTACTTTCCACACTATAAAGATAAAGAGAATACTGTCCAAAAATGTAAGCACAGAGTTGTAACAATATGTAACACATGGAATAAATGAGTGAGGATAGTGGGACCATACAAAACCAAAGGACCTAGAAGTGAAAATAAAGATGGGAATGGAAGGCACTGGGTATCTAATGCGAGAATGGGTACTGAATGAACGGTCAGATATAGGGACCAGAGCTTTGGCTGCAGACCTTTCTGACACTGGGGAGGCTTGAGAGAAGTCAACTCATACAAGTTATTTCTTTTCTACTTTGGTGGATTTTTAATAAGGTCTGTTTCCTATTCATCCCTATGCCTGTTCTGCATTGTGAGTTCTTAAATGCCTCTAACTGCTGAAAGACACAGTGCTCTCTGGATTTTATCTCATTCATGTCACCTTAGAGATAGGGACATAGATGCCATTCACTTATCATTGAACATGACCACAGGGAATAGTGACAAATGAAAGTGACAAAACAAGCAGTTGCTCTATAAGGTAGGCAAGTGTTGAAATCCGTTCCTAGTCTCCAGAAATGACTCATTTCAAGAAATCAATTTAAAGGATACTGGACTTTTCTCTCATTGTTGAGCATGGAGCTATAAACCTTCACTAATTCTCCCAACAAACTTTACAAGTTCTATATTTTCCTTCCTCAAGATGGGGCCTCGCTTCTTAGTGCATACAGGTACACAAATAATCTGTGTCAGAACTCTTCAATACAACACACTTTAGGAAATATGGGTAGAACAAAACCCATGGTACCAGAGCTTTGCCCAGGAAGCATTCCTCAGAGAATAGCACTGCACTGTAGCACTGTCCTCCCGTTGTTCATCCATTTACTCAAGTGGGCCCAGTAACATCTCCATTATGAGACTTGTTACTGTTTTTGGCATATCAAATATGACACAGGTAGCTTGCCAGGCTTTGCCATGCGGGCGAGAAACTCTCAGTAGTTTGATGGGCTCTCCAAGAGGGGTGGAGAAATTGAACCCAGCTCAGCTGGGCCAGCCACGAGCAAGGCAAATGCCTTACCGCTGTAACCTAACTCATAAAATCTATTTGCAAATTCTATTTAATTTAATACATTAGTAATTTTCCTGCTATGTACTTATTCCCAAATGCAACAACATTAAAATTTTTACAATAGGGAGTTACTGAAAGGAACATAATCCAGCCCCACCCTCTCTAAATAGAAGGAAACTGAGATTAAAAAGTCTCATTTTGCCTATGAAAGCAACTATTCATCTGTGCCTTGAGGGGGTAGAGGATGAAGGTTGTGATTGTCAACCCATAGACTATTTGGGAACAGGGCATGGGCAGCTCTGTAGAGAAGCAGCACATACCAAGTACTGGGTCAGACTCTGTAGCTCTAGTATGCTGGCATGTTTTAGGAGCTCGTCAGTGAATATACTCAGTTTCGCAGACATAATGTTGCACACAGTTAATCCCCAAGTTCTTGGGAGGTAGTAGAAGTCCCCAGTTCAACCTGGTGTTCCAGTCACACTCCAATAAAATTCATCAAAGATATACTGAGACTGATCGGATACTTATTTCATTTTTAAAATATAATTTCTTTTTTCACATATGATTTATTATTGTTAGTTTCTGCTGTTTAGAACAGTGAATGGAAAATGAATAAGAGCTAATATACCTCAATTTGCTTCATATTAAATTGTTAAAATTTTCATTTCCAGTGGAATTTCATGTTGATACTGAGATAACAATATGTTAGCATATTCATTATATATTCAAGAAACTAAAATTTTGCCTGATTCTTTGGTCAAAGAATATTTCATATTCTCCAGTTTAGTATTAGCTTTACATTTCTAAAAAATCTCTCCCAAAAACTTTGAAACTTAGATGATAAGTCTTTACATCCTGAGATAAGCACCATTCTAACTTTTCATAAAAGGCAGGAACTTCTGTTTATCACTAAATTTGTCTATTATCCTTAATAATTAATGACAATAATTTAATAACTTTCATCATAAATTTAGTCATCTATTATATCAAAAACTACAACCTCTTGCCTATTTCACTACTTCAAACTTTACTCAACACTCAATTATTTTAAAGCAATGCATGACTAGAGCCCTATAGAATTTCAAAATTTCAAATTTCCACAGGACTCCAGTTCACACGCACCAAATCTCCAAAAGTCTAATTAAGGATTCATTCCTTTCAAGCCAGACATATAGTTCAATCGGCTCAATGATGCAAAGTGTGATATGCAGATGAGAATCCCAGGTACAATCCCTGGAAACCTGTGATTCCCCAAGCCTGACAGTGAGAAGTATACCTAAGAATAATAACCAGGAGTAGTCCCTGAGTACTGCGAGGTGTGTCCTTCACAACCCTACAATAAAAGATTCATACCTCTCACCCCCATCTCATATTATCACAGAGGTAACACCTGAAATATCCTCATCATGTTGAGGGAGTTTAACAAGAATGATTCATGTCAGAATCAGTTTCTTCTCTATTTTCTGTGATAAATTTAACATTTACTGGACATGTGATCAGGCCAGCTGACTGTAGCAAAAGCAATAATGGATATTCAGTACTGAATCTGAAGACAGGAAGGTCTTCCTTGAATTGCTGGAAAAGCAGTTGTTTGGCTATCCCGGAGCCTGTTCATGGGTCCAAGGGATATTTTCTCAAGTACAAGGAATATACCTAGATTAAAGTCCGATTATTGGATATTGCTTTAACTAGAAATCCTGAATGATATCTTATCAAGCATATGTTTAAATTAGTCACATGAAGCTAATGTAACCAATTGGATTAAAATATCAGATATTAATACCAGTGCATTCACAATTTATTAAATTAAAACTAGTGATGATGATTAACAAATGGCCATCTGGAATTTGGAATTTTGAAGTTCCACAGGGGTCTAGTCATGCATTGCATTATTTTTAGTGTTTAGCAATTATTTCTGTGTAAATGCTCTCATCATGGTCTAGTTAACAATATAATATAAGTGAATATGAAATTGGATACAGTCTTTAAAAGATAGCAAATAGGTGGGACGGGCACAGAGGCCCAGCTCTGGGCAACAAAGCTGAACGGCTCCAATTCCAACAGGTATAGCCCGCCCCCAAGGGCCTGGGTCCCTCTCTGGGCACGCGCAGCTAGAAAAAGCCCCTAGACAGCCGGTTTTCAACCCCTGATCTGCGTGGGACGGGCACAGAGGCCCAGCTCTGGGCAACAAAGCTGAACAGCTCCAATTCCAACAGGTACAGCCCACCCCCAAGGGCCTGGGTCCCTCTCTGGGCACGCGCAGCTAGAAACAGCCCCTAGACAGCCGGTTTTCAACCCCTGATCTGCGTGGGACGGGCACAGAGGCCCAGCTCTGGGCAACAAAGCTGAACGGCTCCAATTCCAACAGGTACAGCCCGCCCCCAAGGGCCTGGGTCCCTCTCTGGGCACGCGCAGCTAGAAACAGCCCCTAGACAGCCGGTTTTCAACCCCTGATCTGCGTGGGACGGGCACAGAGGCCCAGCTCTGGGCAACAAAGCTGAACGGCTCCAATTCCAAACAGGAGACGTTCCCAACTCCTCGCCCAGTGCCAGGGACTCTTTCCGGAGCCGCGGCCGCTAACGCGGCCGCAACATATTTTCCCACTACATATGCCATAGGAACCATAAGCTAACTTCTTAGATGGAAACTTCTCTATTTTAGCTCAGCCACTAGAAACACAGTAGCCAATAACTCATAAGCCTATCTTAACTCACACTGCATATCAAGCAGAATAGTAACAGTGAACGTGAAGGACTAAACCACACCTCTCACAATGGTAAAGCAACGCAAAAGCCCACCAAACTTTCATATTGAAGAGTCTAGCCCAGATGACACCAACAGTACTGTAGTGTTAGACAACCTCTCTGACAAGGAATTCAGAAGGGAGCTACTTGGGATGCTTAGGGAACTAAAAGAAACAATGGAAAGCAATGCCAATAGAAGACAAGAGGATCTGAAGGCAGAAATGAGGAAAATGCAATCAGAAATGTCAGACCTGAAAAATCTCGTAGGCGAATTGAAAAGCTCAGTGGAAGGCCTCAGCAGCAGAGTAAGAGTGGCTGAGAACAGAATCAGTGAGCTTGAAGATGAACTTCAGAGACTCTCCAGAAAAGAGCAGAAAATGGAAAAGAGACTCACGATTCGGGAACAGATGGCAAGAGAAGATCATGATGAAGCCAAGAGGGGTAACATAAGAATTATTGGAGTCCCAGAGGGACAGGAAGAAAACCTCGATGAAGAAGAAACTGTCAAAGAAATCATTGCTACAACATTTCCAGAGCTGAAGAAAACTTGTGACCACATTCAGGAGGCCCGAAGGGTACCAGCTAGAAGAAATCCGAATAAAAATACCCCAAGACACATTCTGATCAAAATGACCAAAACCTTAGACAGAGACAAAATTCTGAAAGCAGCAAGATCGAAGAACTGGAACAAAGGCAGAACTGCAGACCAATGGAACAGGGTTGAATACACTGACATCTCTCCTCAATCATATGCTCATCTAATCTTTGATAAAGGTGCAAGTAATGTGAAGTGGAGTAAGGAAAGCCTCTTTAATAAATTGTGTTGGCATCACTGGACGGCTACATGCAAAAAAATAGGCTCAGAACTCTGCCTAACACCATGTACAAAAGTAAGATCAAAATGGATTAAAGACCTCAACATCAGACCAGAAACCATAAGGTACATTGAAGATAAAGTTGGCAAAACCCTCCATGACATTGAAGCTAATGGTATCTTCAAAGATGCCACGCCACTGGCCGAGCAAGTGAAAACAGAGATAGATAAATGGGACTATCTTAAACTAAGAAGCTTCTGCACCTCCAAAGAAACAGTGACCAAAATACAAAGACAATCTACAGAATGGGAAAGGATATTCACCGAGTACACATCTGACAAGGGGTTGATATCCAGGATATACAAAATACTGGTTAAACTCCACAAGAAGAAAACATCCAACCCCATCCAAAAATGGGGCAATGAAATGAACAGAAACTTTCTCAAAGAAGAAATCCGAATGGCAAAAAAGCACATGAGAAAATGCTCTACATCATTAATCATCAGGGAGATGCAGATCAAAACCACAATGAGATACCATCTCACACCTCAGAGACTGGCCCACATTCAAAAGAACAAAAGCAACCGATGCTGGCGTGGATGTGGCGAGAAAGGGACACTCCTTCACTGTTGGTGGGAATGTCCACTGGTTCAGCCCTTCTGGAAAACAGTATGGACGATTCTCAAAAAATTAGAAATTGAGCTCCCATTTGACCCAGCAATACCACTCCTGGGAATATATCCCAGAGAGGCAAAAATGTGTAGTCGAAGTGACATCTGCACTTGTTTGTTCATTGCAGCACTCTTTACAATAGCCAGAAACTGGAAGAAACCTGAATGCCCAAGAACAGATGACTGGTTAAAGAAACTTTGGTACATCTACACAATGGAGTACTATGTAGCTCTTAGAAAAAATGAAGTCATGAAATTTACATACAAGTGGTACAATATGGAAAGTATCATGCTAAGCGAAATGAGTCAGAAAGAGAGGGATAGACATAGAAAGATTGCATTCATCTGGGGGATATAAAGTAACAAAGAATGAGATTAATACCCAAGAATAGCTGAGATCAGCACCAGGAGGATTACTCCATAACTTAGAGGCCAGCCGGGTATCCTAGAGGAAAGGGCAGCTCAGATAGAGAAGGGAGCACCAAATAAAGGATGTTTGGAGGATCCTCCCAGGACGGGAGATGCATGTTGAAAGTAGACTATGGACTGAACATGTTTGCCACTCAATGCCTCTTTTGCAGACCACAACACCCAAAAGGAGAGGGAGAACACAGGGGATTGCCCTGCCACAGAGACAGGGGGGATGGGGGGATGGGGGTGGGAGGGATATTATCTATGGTGGTGGAAAATGGGCACTGGTGGAGGGATGGGTATCTGATCATTGTATAATTGAAACCAAAGCACAAAAAATTGTAAATCTACAACTTTAAAAAAATAAAATAAAATAAAGGAAAAAAAAGATAGCAAATAGTCAATAATAGTTAAAATACTGAAATAATTATGAAGCAATGAATGTTAAATAGTGACTTGTTTAAAAATTATAGGACTAGAAGAATAGTACATCACTGGATGCTTTTCTTGCATGCAATCAACTGGGGTTTAATCCCTGAAATCCCATATGATCCCCTGAGTACCACAAGAAGTGATTCCTGAATGCAGATCCAGGAATAAGCCCTAAACATAGTATTGTATGGATCAAAATTCCAAAATAAATAGCTAAAATTAAAACTACTTTGTTTTGCATAATTTTAAATTCATGTTTCTATAATTTTACCATTATCTTTTTATTTAAGAACCAACTTGCAAGTTTCCTTAAAATTAACCATCAGCTCCCATAAGCTCAAGAGTTAAACCCATCACACGACTAGGAATACCTAATTCATATTTCACTGCCTAATTTACAACATTATTGTGCATAACAAATTAGTATGTTTCTGGTTTATTTGTTTGTTTGTTTGGAAATTTGTAGGAGAGAGTTGTACCTGTCATACCCAGCTATGCTCAAGACTTATTCTTTGCTTTACGCTAAGTGATCACTTATGGCGGTAATCAGTGAGACTGTATGCAGTACCAGAGTTAATTGCATGCAATGGAAGTGCCTTAACACCTGTACCTCGTCTCCAACCCAATTGATGTTTAAAATACAAAACCAGCATGCTAAGACTAAGGAAACTTCCCTGTCTGTCAATGCTAATGAACAGAAAATTCTTTCAAATTTCTCTATCACATACCGGATAGTGATCATAGACCAAAGTGACTCCTTGTAGAGCAGATAGACTGAGATATCCTATTCCATCTTGCTTGCAACTCAGAGCAGCACACAAAACATCCTTAGTAAAGACAGGGTTTTCTGCCAAAGGAAAACAGAAGAAATAGTGAACAAGTATCTCCTGAACTCACAAAATAATTTTAAAGATTAAAAATTATACAAACTCATAAATATTTATTTATTAATAAGTAGCACTATAGCACTGTCCTCCTATTGTTCATCAATTTGCTTGAGCAGGCACCAGTAACATCTCTATTGTGAGACTTGTTGTTACTGTTTTTGGCATATCGAATATGCCACAGGAGCTTGCCAGGCTCTGCTGTGTGGGCAGGATACCCTCGGGTGCTTGCCAGACTCTCCAAGAGGGATGGAGGATTGAACCCGGGTTGGGTGCATGTAAGGCAAACACCCTACCTACTATGCTATTGTTCCATTGTCAATAAGTATAAATAAATATTTGTTTATGAGACAAGCAATGCTGAGACCTGGGGCCATCCCCTGCTACACCCAGCAAACTAGCCAGAAATTCAAAGATTCATTGCTGCTCATACATTGTGGTGCCACTAACCATCTAGTAGGCCTCCATCAAGTAAGCCTTCCAGAAATGCTCAGGAGGCCACGTGTCACTGGGGATCAATGTAGGCTCAGTATCTTAATTCATGTGCTATTTCCACAGTTCCTAATGAAGAAACCTTAAGTGATCAAAATGATTCAATATCATTTTTAATATTTGGGGTACAATGAGGAAACTATGCTTTTTTATTCCAAAACTAATTTCTTTTATTATAATTAAATGTATAAAAATCAATGTCTATCTCCTGCCTCCCTAGACAAGGTCCTCTCCTTTTAAACAAAAGCCCAATTTATCCCAGTTTGCACAGGGTAGTTTTGTTTTTACCTATTGTTCCAGGCTATGTACATAAGAAAGAACTCAAACTACTCATTGTATATGCACCTTATGAGGGAACACCAAAATACTTAAAACAACTGCTCATAGACTTGAAGAAAGACATTGATAGCAACAAAATAATAGAGATTTCAACACAGCTTTATCGGCTCTCAATAGATTAATCAGACAAAAGCTCAGCAAGGACATACTTTATTTGAGTGAATAAATGGAAGAGAGGGGTTAGTATATATATTATTTCATTCCCCAAAAGCTGAATACACATTCTTCTCCAGTGCACCTGGGATATTCTCCAAGAGAGACCACTTTCTGGGCCACAAAAAAATACCTCCATAAAATTAAGAGGATAGAAATTGTATCAACTATCATTTCAGACCATGATGCGCTACAAATAGAGAGAATTACACACAGAAACAGAGAATCAAATCAAACACCTGGAAATTAAGCAGCTCAATACTGAACAACCAGTGGCTTAGAGATGAAATCAAAGAGGAAATAAAAATATTCCTTGAAACGAATGAGAATGAAGACATTAGTTACCAGAATATGGGACATGGCAAAAGCAGTGTTAAGAGGAAAATTTATAGCTCTTCAAGTGTTCCTCGGAAAGAAAAAGCGAGCCTACATAAGTAATTTAACGTCACAGCTCAAGATCATGTTTGGAACATGACTAACAAAAGGAGCCCAAAAATGGCAAGATGAAGTAAATAATAAAGCTTACAGCAGAAATTAATGTGCTGAAAATCAAAACAAAAACAATTTGAAAGATCAGTGAAATAAAGAGCTGGTTCTTTGAGAAAATAAACTAGATCAACAAACCACTAGCAAGACTCACAAAGAAAAAGAGAAAATGAACCGTAATAAACAGAATCAGAAATGAATAGAAATACAATAGAAATCATAGAAATTCAAAATATCATCAGAGATTACTTTGGGAATCTTTATGCCGTGAAACAGGAGAAAACCCCAATGAGGTAGAAGCAGTTAAAGATATCATTGCTGAAGAGTATTCTGAACTGGAGAATGCAGGTATCCAGAAGAGACCAGAAGGATACCCACTAACAGAGACCCCAATAAAAAGACTTCAATGCATATCTTAATCAGAAGAACAAATATTATAGATATTCTTGTATTGTATATCATATACAATACTGAAAGCAGCAATATAAAAGAAGAAAATTACATACAAAGGAGCATTCTAAAGATATACAACAGACCTCTCATATAAACCTGCAGAACTGAGAACAAGAGTAGGATAGAGTTTAAAGCACAGCGGGTAGGGCGTTCGCCTTACAAGCGGCCAACATGGCCGACCCGAGTTCGATTCCTCCGCCCCTCTCAGAGAGCCCGGCAAGCTACCGAGAGTATTCGATATGCCAGACACAGTAACAACAAAGTCTCCAATGGAGACGTTACTGGGCCCGCTCGAGCAAATCGACGATCAACGGGAGGGCCTTTACTTTACTTTTACTTAATGAAATGAAGGCCTAACAAATATTTTATGTGGTTAGACCCTCATTCAGATTTGAAGGAATGGTACACAAATTCAATAATAAACAACACTTCAGGAATTTCATGGACTCAAAATCAACCTTAAAAGAAGGAATGAAGAAGATACTTTAAAGACAAACACAAGAAATTTCTACAGAAAGATGGCACAAAACCCCAATTAAAAGAATGGAGTGGCAAAATGGATTAAAAACATGAATCTGACATTCTGCTGCCTACAAGAAATACATTTGAATTGTCAATGCAAATACAGTCTCAGTCAAAAGCTGGAAAACAACTCTTTAAGCAAAAATCTTTTAAAAAGCCGGATGGTCATACCAGTATCCGGTTGGATATTAACCCTAAGTGTCTTAGGCGTCATCAGTGAACTGTCCCTTTTCCTCCCTCCAGAGAAGTTTATATGCTCTTACAAGCACCCCTAATCCCGATTTTATCTTTAATCTTTCCTTTGTGCTTTATCTCTCATTGTCAGCTACTCCTCCTTACCACTTCAATTAAGAAAAAGATAGAAATGGAATGCAAATTGTAAAAATGAAACTATCACTGACATGATCATATACAAAGAAAACCCTAAATATTTCACTAAAAATTTATAAACAATAAACTTAAAATAAATAGCAAAGCAGCAGATCTCAGATCTAACACAAAATATGCTATATTTCTTCATGAAAATACTACTTTATACAAATAGTGTCCAAAAAAATCAAATACCTATTTATCAACAAATATGTGAAAGACTATAAAGACCTTTAAGACTATAAAGCACTTATGAAAGATATAGGACACCAAAACATGGAAAAAATATTTCATATTCATAAATTGTAAAAATTATCATTTTCAAAATGATATATCAATACACTTCCCACAACAACCTCAAAAACTTAGAACAAATACTAATTTATGTGTACAGAGTCATGAACCTTCCCAAATAGCTCTTTTGAAAAAAAAGAAGTTTGGAGGTATCACATTTTCTGAATTTAAATTATACTCTAAAGATATGGACTTAAAACAGCATGGTACTAGTATAGGGATAGACTAGACAATGGATTAGAAATTAGAATCCCAGAGACAAACCTTCAAATTCATGGAGAGTTAATCTATGACAAAGGAGTCAGATGCAAGAAATGAGAAAGGGAAGCATCCTAAACAAATTGCTGTTAGGAAAGCTGGGCAGCTATGTGCAAAAAAAATTAATAAATGCTAATTCAAAACAGATTAGAAGTATTACTACAATTAGACCATAATCCATAAAATACATTGAGGAAAATAAAGGCAGAATCTGGATCTTTGTGTTTTCAATGATGTGATTCTTTTAGTATAGATAACAAAACAAAAGTAAACATATGATACTACATAAAATTTAAAAGCTTTATATAGGGAAATAAATGTAATCTGAAATTAAATGATACCCTGCTAGATGGGATATTTATACACACTATATCAGATAAAGGGTTAGCACTTAAAATATATAAAGCTCTCACAAAACTCAGCATCAAAGAAACCAAAAGTCTATTCAAAACGGGAGAGGAGATAAAATGACACTTCCATGAAAAGAATGTATGACTGCCAATAAATGTAGTACTGCACTGTCCTCCCATTGTTCATCGATTTGCTCGAGTGGGCACCAGTAACATCTCCATTGTGAGACTTGCTACTGTTTTTGGTATATTGAATATGCCATGGGAAACTTGCCACGCTCTTCTGTGCATGCGGGATACTCTCGGTAGCTTTCCGGGCTCTCTGAGAGAGACGGAGGAATCGAACCCAGGTTAGCCCTACCCACTATGCTATCATCTTGGATAATAGAAATTAAAATAAATGTAGAAAGTGAGGGGTGTGGACTGGAGCATTAGTACAGCAGGGAGGACACTTGCCTTGCATGTCACCGGCCCGGTTCAATCCCTCACATCCCATATGGTCCTCTGAGCACTTCCAGGAGTAATTCCTGAGTTCAGAGCCAGAAGTAATTCCTGAGCAGAGCTGGGTGTGACCCAAAAAGCCAAAAAAAAGTGAGGGGGTGAATGACTTTGCAGGCTGGAGATGTGTAAGGAAGGGTGTTAAAGGTCTTGGATACTTTGGTGTTGTAGACTTGAAGTAACTGTGTACATTAAAACTATAAAAGTCTACTACATTTGAACATATAATCCAAGCTATAATTAAAGTTCAAAAGAAAGTTTTCTCAAAAGTCAGGGAAGAGTGTGGGAGGAAATTTGGGAGAAAGACGCTGACACTCATGGTGTATTTGGAGTTAGAATATTGCATGTATGAAACTATTATTGACAGGTTTGTAAATAACAGTATCTAAATATAAATAAAAATTGAAAGGTTATTTTATTTTCAAATCTCCACACCCAATATACACCATACCAAGGGGTCCAGCTCCATAGCTTCTGAACTTCTATATGCCACATTCCAAGACCCTTTCAGAATGGGGCAGGTGGATTTCTCTCCCTTCTTGTTAAGCCTAGAAGCCCCTATACCCAACCTCTCTATCAAGGGACCAAACTCTACGTTTTTGAAGTGTACAGCCACAAACACATCTATGTACCTCCAAATACACTACCCTCAGCACCATAGAAGAGCAAACCCAACAGAGAAGACGTATGGAGACCCACAAACCTCAATGAGTGAAAATACAAAACACAGAAGACTCAATAAGCATCAACCAACTCAGTAAATATTGTAATAAGATTTGAAAATAATTACATGAGGCAGTGCAAAATCCTACCTGCAAATATCAAAATCAATCGCATTGTCAGCAACTGCACTTTCTGCAGAGTGACAAGGGCTTCTGGAGATTTCAAAGGCTGCAGGAAAGTCTGACACATTGCAGCCACACTGAGAAAATAAAGACAACAGAATTAATGCGTAAAAATCTACAAGCATTGTGTATATTTTTATATAAAGGAAAAGTCATTATATATATACATATATATATATATAATGAACCTCCATTGCTTTGCCATTTATAGAAAAACAGTAGTTTTTGGCTATTCTCTAGAAGTACAAAAGTAAAGTATCAAGGAATTTTCAAAAAGAGAAAATGTAAGTAAAACTTACACTTGATACTAATACATGGGGAATTTTTGTCTTTAAACAAACATAAACAAGTTTAAAATTTGTGTATAAAAGTAGATGTGTATGTGTGTTGGTATGTGTGTAGTGTAAATATGATGATTTAAGAGTCTGTTTGATGATGTTGGAATAAATTGTCCAAACAAAATGATTTAATAAGCTTCCCTGACTCAGAACAACTTAAGTTTTCTTTAGTGAGGCAAAATGGAGGGATATATACTAAGCTAAGGAATGTAATAGGGGCATGGAGCTTCAAGAATAGAAGAAAAAAAACTTAAATGACAGAAAGGAGTAAATCATATGCTGATGGCGAGATTCTCTTTTATAAACTCTTCTATAAATTCTCTTTTAATTACTCTTTGACAAGATAATCTATAATTACACATGGTAATTATCATAGATAAGATTATCATTATATAATTATATATTTAATCATAGATTTTCCTTATCAATTATATAAATAATTGCATTATATAACCTCTGGTATTATAGTTATTTTAAAGATCTTAATATGGGTTAATACCTCAAATTTTCATTATTCTAAGTAGTAAAGAAGGAAGTAAAAATTTCTCATGATTCTATAGACTTATTTACATCAGCTCAAAATAACCCACATGCTAAAGTGGAGACCTTTTTGAACATCTCAGGGAGGTCTTTAACTTAAAACTTATAAAGAATTAGAAAATATATATTTATTTATTTGACTTTGGGGTACATCAGTTGTTCAAGGAAATTTACAATAGGTAGATAGAGAGAGATACATATATGCCATTCACATGATCAGAAGAACAACAAAAAAATGAGACAAATACCTTGACAAGGAGCTACTCAAAGAATTTAAGACTGCTATTCATTCATTCTAATACAGAACTGAAGCAAAGTCAGCAATATAAACATTCTAAGAAGTATCCAGAATGCTGTGGCAAGAAAAGTGCAACTTCGAAGTCCTAGCAGACTAGCAGAGCTATGCTTTGTTTTAATTCAATTATTTCATTTTTTCCCTTTGCTAGGGACACACTCTCTAGTGCTCTGCACTTACTCTTGGCTCTGCAGATCCACCTGGAAGGGGAGCGGGGGAGTTATATTGGGTGGGGGTCTTACGCACCAGGTCTGCTATGTGCAAGGCAAACACCTTATATATCCCAACAGCTAACATTTTATAGAATGCTGCTTAAAATTTACTCTTCCCAGACAAACAATTGAGCTTTATAAAAAAAAAAATGTAATTTTGTATTCTGTTGAGGTGTTAATGTACACTGCATAAGGAACCTAGTGAATTTCATACCACCTCTCCAGAAACTGTGATTTATCTGGTTAAATACTGTTTATTCTCTTGCTTAAAATGCAACTAGTCCTTAATGAATGTAATTATCACATTGTAAGGGAGAAAATTTAGTTCATTGATGCTATGTGTATGTTTCAGGACAAAAGCAAGTTTAATGAGCAAGTTTAAATCTAACTATAGATTACAGTGACAGAATTTTTTGAAACAATGAAATATCAGTTTTTGGACTTTTTGGGTCACACCCGGAGATGCTCAGGAGTTTCTCTTGGCTTTGCACTCAGCTCCCGGAAAACCAGCTCCCAGAAGAGAACAGTGCAGTCTCCTGCCCCTGCGCCTGGCTGTCCTCGCTCGCCAGGACCCTTTGGAGGGGAGCGGGTTGAGCTTTCCTCCCCGCCCTGACCAGGGCCCCGGCAGCCTAAGACCTCCAGGACCAGCCACTACCATGCTGAGACCACTCTCCGCACACCTGAAGGTACCGGCAGAGGGACAAAGCCTTGTGGGTTCCAGGGCCGAGACCTTCCAAGCCTACTCGAATTGGAGTCGAGCATCCTCCACCCAGATCCTCCAAATTCCAGTAGGCGGGGGTCACACCCATCACCATCAGTTTATATAGATTTACATATGCAAAATATAGTGTTTTAATTATTAAATTTTAGATTATGGAGATTTTGGCTTATGGTAGCAAAAGAATTGTTGTTTCAGTATCTCTATAACTGCAACCGTTGCTAGTTTTCCCTTAGTAGGTGTGTTTTATAGAGTAAGACAGCAAAGCACTCTTCGGTTCTTAAACCTCTGTGAAGGTTTGGTCTATGGACCAAGTCTTTGGTTCTTAAACCTCTATGAAAAGGAGTGTGATCAAACCAGCATTTCCTAAGCTATAACATGAGCCACCTTACAATCTTGTGAAACTTCATGCCTAGGTAGTTTGGAGACTGTTCTAACCAGCTCTGGGAGAGACTGTAGGTCAGGGAGCTTCCTCTTGAGAGCAATGTACGGGATTCTCATATCAGTGCTCCTGGATGAGAACTTAATTGTGACTTACACTGCTTCTCACCGATTCTTCCACCTATACAATTATAAGTACTGAAGCAGTGAGGTGGGAGTGAAGAGATCAAAAATAAAAGGAATTCTTTCTGACTGGAGTCCAGGAATCAGCCATTTGGCATCCAATAAGCCTCTAACTCAGGAAACTTGCAACAAACCATCAAAATATTTATGTATTGGGGAATTTTTATTGCTCTCATTGCTTTAACTTTGCACTACTATTTTTACTTATATATCTGTGATTGTTATTTTATTAATTATATTTTCATTCATTACACTCATACAAATATTCAAAATAATGCACATATAGTGTTTTAACATTATAAAATACACACCATTCTCCAAGAAAATCCTATCATTTCCTGATCTATATATAAATGAAAAGTAGTTCAGAGAGTTTGAATGAGATCTTTAGATTCAGAAAATTAGAAACTAGTAGAACCAAGACTCACTTCAATTTCAGGCTAGTCTGACCTCTTGCATTAACTATAACCACTAGGATTTTTCTACTTTGCACATACATTTCATTCACATAAAAATGTGTCCATAAAAAGACACTGAATCTAAGGCAGAGAAACAGAAGAAAGCAGTTACTATAGGATATGAAAGTGGAACCAAAAGTTGTGAATTCAAAGACTAAAAGTGGTAATTGTATACCAGACTTGACTAGATTTGGTTCTCGTGGGATGGTGTTATTCTCTGTATGTTAGCCAGGTTTGAGGGAGAATAAGAGTTGCCAACACTCAATGAAATGCTCAAATTAAAATTTAGAGCACTGCATAAAATCAAACACTGTGTATTCTAGAACCAAAAACAATAAAGGGTATGTCAAATAGTTTTAAAATTCATAATTCTACTTTGGAAGGTGTGATAGTCCTTTGTGCAAATAGAAATCTTACCAGGTTTTAAGTTAAATCTTAACTAACCAGGAAAATACTTCCAAGCTATTAAACTGTGGATTCTTATACCAACATAACTCACAGAAAAATTCTAGTTGTCCAGAACAAAGGTTCAGATAGCAAATCCAAAATTTTTGTAGGACTGATAGGAAGATTCAGAACAGAGAAAATGGAACACTGGTGTGTTGTTCTCTATGAAAAATGATATGTTATGACAGCTGCAGCAAATCTGAGACTTTATACACCTACAGAGACAGTCTCCCACCTGGGGAAGCAGAAGATATCCAGAACATACTGACAAATACGGTTGGGGTTAAAGAGCAGGGACAATCTAAACAGAGAAGAAACAGGCAGCTATCTGGAACTATCCAGTGGTTGATTATGACTGAAGGCAAAAAAATTCTGCATAGTTAATGGTCTTATAGTCTAATCAACATGTCAAATAGTGGAACCATCTTCTGTTAGTTTTTGAATAAAAATTCTTACATGTCTATTTTAGAAAATGTAAATAGAATAAGATGTTAAACAGTGATAACAAAATCATTGATTTTGAAAATATTTAATAACTTCAAATAGTACTTGAATATCAAGTTAATGAGCCAAATGATGATGAGTCTGGACATGTCTATAATGAAGCCTACTTTAAGGAGTAATAAAAACTGAAGTCAGGAATGACACCTTATGCCAGTTCAATGCAATATCTGTAAGATTTTATTTAATAGTTTCTTACATGAGTACAAAAATAAAGTGAATATGATTCAATTATTTTTCATCTGTTAGTGGGATTTTTTGACAGTGTTAATTCAATTCAATTAATGCCATTGGGTATTTCTCAAAACACCAAGGTAAAGGTACAAGGTAAAAATCCTCTTTTGGTTTTCATTTTTTTAACTGATGTTATTTGTGCAGTGAAAGGAAGACATACAGACTGTACTTCTTTCAGAGCTTACTTCTGGATTTGTGCTTATGGATCACTCCTGGCAGTACTCAGGGGAATCTATGTAGTGCCAGGGATTGAACTGAGGTCAATGCCTGCAAGAAAAGAGTCTTAGCCTCTGTACTATCTCTCAGCGACTGATACAATATTTTTCCAGTGATTGAATTTATAAAGATCTCAAAAGGAGGCTGAAGAAAAGTTCTCATGGAGTTTATCCACCGAAAGTCATATAAAAGAAGTTCTACATCTTCTCAGGAAAATTATTACTGCTTTTAAATATATAAAACTTTGAAAAACTTCTTCAAGTTGATGGTGAGTTAGATTCTGAATCAATGTGATATTAGAAAACAAATATTTACTCAAATGACCTCCGTATTTATTTGAAATTCTACTCAATACCTTATCAACAGTATCTACAGTTTCTAAAAGGTTATTTGAATGCTGGGCAAATACCAACAACATATTAATATTATTCTCGTTATTTTTCTCTAAGGTTTTCCAAAAAGCTTCCAAGGTAAAAAAAAATCAAATACTTCTCTCAAATAAATCACAATTTGTGTCGTGCTCTGTGATAGCATTTCACCTAAAATAATTATCACCTGAGGTGATAGTACAAAGGGTAGGGTGTTTGCCTTGGATGTGACGGACCATAGTTCAATCATAGGCATCCCATATGGTTCCCCATATAAATAGACTATTAACATTTGTGTTCTTCAGTACCATCATGGAAGGTTAATACTAAATAAAAATAATATGCTACTGTATACTACATAAACCAGAAAACACAATAATCTATTCAAAAGATATGTATGTGTACCTTTGTACTAAAGTCAGGATGTGGAAACAACCTAAATGTTCAATGGCAGATGAATAGATAAAGAAGTTGTGGTGGGTCTGGAGGGGTAGCACAATGAGCAGGGCATTTGCCTTGCACACAGCTAACCCTGGTTCAATTCCCAGCATCCTATATGGTCCCCTAAACACTGCCAGGAGCAATTCCTGAGTTAAGAGCTAGGAGTAGCCCCTAAGTATGGCCAGGTGTGACACAAAAATCTAAAAAAAAATAAGTTGTGGTATATATGTTCAATGGAATATTATACAGCAATAAAAATGGTGAAATTTTGTACTGCATGGCAACTTGGATGCAATTGGAGATTATCATGTTAAGCAAAATAAATCATGGGATTAAATGCTGAATTATCACTCTTTGTTATATACAGAATAAAACAAGGGAATAGAACGTTCAAATGTGAAAAATCCTTTACCTTAAATTTCAAAACTGAGTGTATATGGGAGTATACAGAGAGAATGAAGATGTGGATTAGAGCAATTAAATGACAGTGTTGAGATATTGGTAAGTTTGCTAGTTATTAAGTGCAATAATTGTGTACATAGAAATCATAAAAGTAACATTGTAACCCTGTTACCTAAATTACAATAAATTTTAAAAATAAAACAAGGCAATAACAAGACTAGTAAAATAAACTATAAATAATAATTAGTAGTTTTTTGTCAAAGAATTCAAAGGGATTGGGGGTATGGTGCCACCAGCAGGTCAATCTGTACCTGTGAGGCAAGTGCATCAGCAATCTGATGGTGCCTTCAGACTTCTAAATACCCCAAAATTGCTGCTGTGCCTTCGGCCAGACCCCAATAACTTGGGGCCCAGTTTACCAAGAAAGGAAATGGCCAAAAGTTAGGTATGTGGGAGACACACCCACAAACCACACTGGCTCAGCTATATAATTGGAAGCAAGGTCTCTCTGGTTCCTGATCAAACTGCTTAATGGCCATGATCCCGGAGACACAGAAACAAATCTCAGAATCCAGAGGCTTTTGGCAGAAATGCGTCTGGTCCCCGCAGTAAATTATTGGCACTGGACCACCGCAGGGGGGGAATTGGTGCTGTCCCTCCGCCTGCTCCCTCTTGGAGGCTTGGTGGCTGCCATCCTCCAGAGGCCATTGCACAGTCATGTTTGGGCCCACAGTGACAAGACATGCGAGGCCTCACAGGATGGCAGTGGAGCAGGCCCTTTCCACCCTGCCCAATGAGATGCCGAGTCGCCGACCACGAACGTCTCTCTGGCTCCTGATCAAGCTGCTTAACAGCCTTGATCTCAGAGACTCAGGAACAAATCTCAGAATCCAGCAGGTTTTGGCCAAAATCCCTCCAGATTTTTTTGTTAAAATTTCGGAATTCCAAAATCACACAGCCACTAATGCGGCCGCGTGATATCATGTATTTTTTATAACCAGCAATAGAAAACAAATTGTCTACTGTTGCCTTGTCAGCAGATCTGAGTGTTGGGGTAAAATCCCAAATAATAATGGTGAGTCTTATATCAAAATATTGAATGTAATCAAAGTAGAGAGAGAGTAATGTGGAAATCATCTGCCCCACAGGTAGGGGGGTGGTGTGAGATGGGGGGGTACACTGGGATTTTTGGTGGTGGAGAACGGGCATTGGTGAAGGGATGGGTATTTCATCATTGTATGACCAAGACTTAAACACAAAAGCTTTGTAACTGCTCTCATGGTGATTCAATAAATAAATTTATAAGAAAAGAAAAAAAAGGTGGAGTTCATTCCCAATTCAATCAGCCTAAAAAATAGATGAATAGTTAGCAATACTCCTACATTTAAAATAAAGAATTCAAATGGTTGAGGAAGTTTTTATATAATTAATTTCATTACAAAGCCTCAGACCTAACCATCTGAGGGCCGCAGCACATAGTATAGCAGCTAAGGCCCTACCCATGTTGGATGAGTGGCACCACATATGGTCCCCCAAGCATGCCAGGAGTGTTTCCCAGAGCCAAGGTAATCCCTGAGCACTGCAACATGTGGTCTCCAAGGCAAAAAATTGAAAAATCAAAAGGGACTTGCTTTTGTAAAATGGCCATCACATTACCTCCATGTAAGAAGGCACATATTTCTGAATGTTCAGATCACAAATCTTGAAAGTTCTTCAATGTGTCAACTGAGCTAAGTTTTTTGACAGCATCAGAACTTCCTGTTTCTGTTTTTGGTATGGGTTTGCTTACATAGTGAAGTTCACAATAAGACAGAATAGAAGGGAGTCCATGACCACTTTGCAGCATGAGCACTAAATTTTAAATCTAATCAGCTTTATGATTGTAATCACTTAAGTTAATAAGAAAGAAAATTGTCATGTCAATCCAACTTAATTAGTTGGAAGCCTTCAGAGACTTCCTTGACTTACTAACATAGATAGGACCTAGACATTCAGCTCTTCTTTCTCTATACCACTTCCTGATAATCACCTGTGAAAAAGAGCTCCAATTACTGCATGAGTTTCCAAACTGCCTCCTATAGGCCGGCTCAACTGACTCTGGGTTTCTTTATCCAACCTTCACAATTATAGAGATAATTCCTTATTTGAAGTGTTCTGCTAGTTCTACTTTTGTTTTTGAAACCTGACTGTTACTGATATCATATAATAAATTAGAATTTCCCTCCATCCAAACTTCAAACTGGCAAACTTCAAAAGATATTTGAAGAAACAATGTGACAGTCTTAAAACTTTTAAAGTTTTTCTAATTCAAATGCCAAAATCAAAGCAGATTAACTGGAATAAAAATACTTAAATGCTCATTTGTGATTAGACAACACATTCAAATTATTACTATTAAAATGCACACACATGCATAAGTAGTTTTTAAATTCCATATAAAATAAAATATAATAATTTTCATATCAAAAAATGTAAGAAAGCATAAATGATTATTCTCACGGCTGAAATAAATACATATGCATAGGTGAATATTTATTTGCCCCTGTTACTATAGCCATTAAAACTATGTCTTTTATATTTTAGTAAAAGTTTTATTAAGATAAAATTCACTTTAAATATTATTTAAAGGTATTGAGGAGGAAGTATGGTGCTGCCAGCAGGTCAACCTTTACCTGTGTGGCAAATGCATAAGCAGCCAAATGGTGCCTTCAGACTTCCTGATACTCCAAAATTGCCCCTGTGACCTTGGCCAGACCCCAACAACTTGGGACCAAGAAACTAAATGGCCAAACGTTAGTTATGTGGGAACCACACCTACAAACCACCTCCAGCTCAGTTATACAAGCTCATTTATCGGCCTTATTTCAGAGACCCATACATCTCAAAAGAGATCAAAAACCTCAGTTAGGGCCAGTGACACGCTGCAGGCATGTGAGAGTACTCTGCAGTTCATTTTTCAGTAGTTTATTTCTCTGGAAAAGATAGAAACAAGGCCCATGATCAAGAGACACACAAAAGAATCTCCAAACCAAGCAGCTCACTGCAGAGATACCTCCAGACTTTAAGCCAGGCTGACTTCACGGGGTGCCTCACACAGGGTAGGTGTCATCCCTCAACCTGTCCCCTAAAAACTCTGGTGGCTGCTAACTTCCAGAACCCAATGAGAAGTGCAGGTAGGTGGGTCCAGTGACAGCAAACTCCAGGCCTCAAGGGATAGAGGATGGGCAGGTCCCTCTCATCCTCCATCCCCATGGGACCCTGGAGGTCACGCCCAGAAACTGCCTCCAGCTGCTACTTAAGCTCCTTAATGGCCATGATCCAGAGACAAACAAAAGATTCTCTAACCCATCAGCTCCTTGCAGAGATTTCTCCAGACCCTGATTATCTAACATTTTAGAATTCCAGGAGAGGCCGCACAACGTCTTATGCTATTCATAACAAGCAATACAAAAGAGAGTAGTGAGGAGATTGTCTGTCATCGAGGCGGGAAGAGGGGTGGGATGGGGGGCATACTGTGAATCTTGGTGGTAGAAGATGTGCACTGGTGAAGGATTAGGTGATCGATCATTGTATGAACATTTCGCAACTGTATCTCAGGGTGATTAAAAAATAATAATAACAAAATAAAATTTACGGTCTGGATTTAAAAAAGGTAATGTGGAGTTCATGCCCAGATCAATCATCTTAATCAGTGGCTGAATAAATAGCAGTACTCCTACATAAAATAAATTAAAAATAAATAAAGGTATTGAGTATAAGGGACATTATTGAAGTTTATATATCAATAATATATATATATTACATGTAGTGAACAAAGAGAACTATACTCACTTCATCTCTGCAATGATGTCTTCATTAAAGTCATTTAGTAGAAGAAATACTTTGTTCTCAGAAGTTTTCTTTTGTAAAACAGCAAAGAATTTTTCCAAAACATTTTCCATCCATTCTACTATGCTTCTTGAAAAAAAATTTCCCTCACCTATTTCTGACTTTATTTGTTTCAAGGTGAGTTTAACAGAATTGATTATTTGAAGGTCAGTATTATTTGCATTCAGTTCATTAACATTGAAGATACTGTTTAAGCTAAGTAGTTTATCAAGAATACTTTCATTTGATATAATGTTGGTGAAGTTGACTGTTTTTAGTTTTTTAATCATTTGCAAGGCAACTTGCTTTATAAATACATTTGGACAGACTTCAGAGATGCCGTCATTTGTTTGGTTTTCAGGAGATGGGATGAATGGTAACACCTTATGCCAAAATTCTTGTACGGTTTGTGTAAGTGGATTTTTAACATGGAAGACTTCAGATACTTCTAGAAGGATGAAATTCAAGTCCACTAACTCATGAATTACACAGACCATTTTCCTAGTTAATTCCATCTGCAAACTTTTATTTGAACATTGTGAATCTCCTACTGGGGGAGACAAGTGGAGATGATCAAATATGCTCACTATTTTGCTATAAAATGAAGAAGACATGAACCCATGGACATCACAAGTCTCTAACTTTGGATTCTGCTGAAATCTAAAAGTGCGATTCCAACACCAAGCCACAGGAAGGCAAATTAAAGCCTCTGAAATAATATTTGGGTTATCTGATATTAATTCAGTTGCATCCAGAAGAGTTTTTATAACAATAGCAAAGTCTTCTTTGGTGACATTTAAAATGTTTATGCCATGAAGAAGTGTGAAGTTATAGACATCCTTAAAGACTTCTGTTATATTTTGACCAACAGCTCTTTGTAGGAGCCTCACAGCGTGAGGAAGCATGTAGTACACATCTACAACAACATTAACGTCATCTTTAGGAAGCAGGCGTGAGAGCTTTAGTAAATGGTTAACATTCCAGGAATGTGAGCTGTCCACAAACTTTTCCATCAAGTCAACAATCAAGTTGATTCCAAAACTGCCAGAGTCTAATCTACTAATATTCTTAAAGAAATCCATTAGGTTCTCACTAATGTGTTCAAGTTGTTCTACTAGCAGATCTATATCTGCCTTCTTGAAAGTATGCAGGAGAGAAGTTACCTTCTTTAAAACTTGAACACTACTTGAATCTTGTGCAATATTGTTATAAACTGAAGGCATCAGAGAGTTAAACATATCCTTTGCCATTTGAATGCCAAGACCAACGGCTTTCATTACTTCATGTGGAATTGTTTGGGGTGAAAATTTGACATTGTGAGATAAGTTAAAAGCGATGTAACTGACAAAATGATAAAATGAATTTTGTAATCTATTCATATCATTTTCCTTTGGTCTGGTAGTAAATATATTTAATAAAGATTTATCTATGGCAGAATTTTTTTCTAGGATGTTGACAGAAATATCCTTTATAAATTTTTGAATTTCTTTCCCCAGAGCTACTAAGTGAAACCAAATATTTTGAAACTGACTAGAAATTTCATCTGACATTACTGTGGGTCTTAAAATTAATTCAGTAAAATTTTCCCAGTTAGATTGAGAGGCAGAACCAAAATCTTCTGATAAGTTACTGATAATCATTTTTACTTGGTTTGTAGAACTATTTAAGAGAGTCAATAAAATTTCAAAGTTTGGTAATTTTTCCTTATCAAAGATGGTAGTAAGCACAGTGTTTAGAAAGTCAGTTACATTTTTCAAGTAAATATTCATACAATATATATCTGACACATTCAATAAACAGTGAGGTTCCTTTATATTTAATATCCAAGTAACAAGCTTCAATGTAGAGTTCACTTTGTTTTCCACTTCTCTGAAATGCCTGAAAATACTCTGAAAATGGCCTTCTATAAAGCTTGAGTTATATATCACATGCAGATGATTCATAATGTCTACCCATGCAATACAGCCTTTCAGTCTGCTAACCGCGTCCTCAGAAGAAAATGTGGAATTCAGAGTAGACAGAATATATAATACCTTCTGAGAATTATTTAGATATAAGTCATTTTCCAAAATAATTTCAGTAACATTTCGGAAAACATCAGCACAATACAATAAATCTTGGTTATGCGATACATTTCTCAGAAATAATATAGTTTCTCTTACATCACTCAAGGCATTTTCAAACTCTACTCCAAAATTTGTATGGTTATTAGAAAGAAAGTTGTTTATCAAATGCGCATTTCTATCCAAGTATTCTGAGGTATTGCTTAACTCAGCAGAAATGTCAAGCAGAGAATATAAAAATTCTCTTCTTGCACTGCCATGTATTAGAAATGTCTTTAATTGATGCAGGATAGTTTTCATGGTGAAAAGAGATTTCTCTAATTTGTCCAGATTAAAAGACTTTACTGCAATTAATGCATCACCTAATTCTATCCATAGGTCTCTGAGATCTTGAATATCATCCCAATCATAGAAGCTTTCAACTTGAGTTACATTTCTAAACAAATTTAATATGAATTCAGTAGGGTGATGAGTGGGAAATATTTTCTGGCAGCTTTTAGATATCTTCATATCATTGTCCAATACTTCCAAAAGCTGAGTGAGGCCAACACGAAGAGGGGTAAAAATGTTCATATCTAACTTAAATATCTGAGACATGCTTTCAAATATTTCGGTCCGCATTTGAAGCCATGAAATGGTGCAGTGAATAGCCATAAACTCATTGAGCACACCACTTTTTGTTGAAAGGTTTGAAAGGATTTGTGACCATGGAAGGATAAATGAAGATTCTTCACCTACTGAGTAGTTCACAGAAGAAACGACTTTATTATCCAGAGCAAAGCATTCATTATCCAACAGTGCCTCTCCTGAACTATTGAAAAATTGACTCAGATACTGAAATAAATAAATGCGAAAATCTTTGTCTACTCTGAGCAGCTGTTTGAGGCCTGTCAACGTTGCATAGATGACTTCCAATTTGGGGTCTTTTATAGACTTCGGGGACTTAGCTTGATTCTCCAAAAAGTTAAATATTGAAAGAAATTTCTGACAATAAGGCAAGTCAGAAATTCCATGAATAACTCTTGCTGTCTCATATAAAAATGCAAATGCCTTATTGATGCTTTGAAAATTAAATTGTTTAATGATATTCAAAATATGTTTTGATATTTGTGTAAAGAAAGATAGCAAAGATTCTTTATTTTGAAGGCTAACAAATCCATAAATGTATTTGTAAAATGAAGAATAAATTTTCAGAAGTAAAGCTGAGTCTTTGTTCTTGAAGATTCTTAGATATATATGAGTCAAAATTCTACCAATTTCTTTTTTAGTAGGTTCAGACAAGGTTGTGAAAATATCAGATACATTTTTCATAGCATAAACTATGTCCAGAGCTTCTGAGACTTGTTCCTGCCTCAGAAATCCAAATTCATAGAGATTATTTATTATATTTTCACTTAAATGTACAAAGTATACTTTATTTGTTGGTTTAGGACAATCTGAACAGAACAAGTCAGAGAAGTTAAAGCTTTTACTTTGAATTCTTTCACTTTCTTCAATAGAAAAATTCAGAAGTGTAGAAAAGTTTTCCAATTTAGCTCTTTCTCCTTTAGAAATTCGATGCATCCAAAATTTCAGCAGTTTGGGATTAATTTCAAAAGGTATTAATTCCATAAGACTCAAAATATCTTTTGATTCTTTCTTCATCCAGAATCTTTCAAGCATTTGTATTTTTCCAACAATCTGCTTGGCAAATTCCAAAAGTTTACTATTGTAAGTAGCAAATAGATCTGTTTTCAAACCTTTTAAATGATTTACCCTCGAAGAATTTGTACTGGTGATAATACCAGTGAGAGACAGGAGGTCATGGATATCATGAACATTGGTTAAATTTAAAGTATTAGGCAATAATAATTTCTGAAAAAATTCCACAAAAGATAGAAGATTGTTTACATGCTTATCCTCAAATGTATGCAACTTCGTTTTCATCATTAGAAGTTCCTTTGTGGAATTTAAGACCCTGCAATATAATAAAATTGTTTTAATATGAGAACAGGTAAGTTTCATGTAAAACTCATTTTTTATTTTTAAAAATAAAACTATTTATAATTTAAAAATAATTTTATTAGAGATATTTATTAGTTAATATACATCCCATTCAAAATTTAATGTATTTGAAAATGTTTAAGAAATCTGCAAAGAGGTTGTTTATATCTAGTTTCAAATCTACTTTCTATACTAACAATGCTTTTTAAATTATTTTGTTTTATGCATAATAATTAACTATTAAAAGACCAGTTTTATCTACTTATATCAGAAGAATCTTAAAATCAGATTTCTTATTGTATCTCTTAATTAGATATTTGTCAACTGGCAGGATTGTCTCCTTCAGAAATTGTATTTATATGATTTAAAATACAACTGTAGGATTCTCTGTTCTAGAAGGTAATTTCTGTGCTACATTGCTTTTAATGTTTTTTTTGTCTCAACAAATTACGATAAGTCTAAACTTGTAATAAAATTCTTTACTTAGAGAAATTACTGATTTCTACCAAGTCAAGAGATACAAGTACAGTTTGAAATCTTTGGAATATCAACATGTTTCAGTCTTTAAAAAAATGATCTCCTGACTGTACCAGATATCTATAACCAGTGAGAGCCTCAGCAGTGTCTTCAATTCATGAGAAATTTCTTAGCAAAATAAATTATAATAAATAATAATAATGAAGTTATTGTATGGGATCAACAGATTTATTGAAAGTTAATTATCTGATAAGTATGCTGTGATGCCAGCCAAAATAAGCTTCCGTTTTAATATTACATTTAGAATATTTAATCTTGCTCAACATTTACTAAGGATATAAGACAACGGTGTGGTGTCTTGGACAATTTGGTGGTGGTTTGCGTAGTAGTGTTGAAAATCATTACTACAATCTTTAACACTGCTGTTTGTAACCATTGTCTATTATTATAAAATTTACAATATTAAAATATAACTATAAAACTATGATTTTTAAAAAATTTGAAAAGGGGGGCAGGGATAAAACACCACGTAGGGCAAAAGTTTAGCATGTACTTGATCAGGGTTAAATTCTGTCAGTACTTGGTCCTTTGAATATTACAAGATATAACCCTCGAGTCCCTCAAGTACTAAAACAGTGGAACAAAGCTCCACTATTAATTCAACAAATTTTACTTAAACACATCCATGCATATCAAGATGTGCATAACTAGTAGGCAGTAATTATGAATTGAAACAGTAGAATATATTTTTTGTAATGGGAACTGAGTAATACTAGTAGGAGCAACAGAAGTATAAATAAAATATTATGAGTAACCATTTAAAAGCTCTAGTACTACTAGAAATATTTTGAAACTTTTGCAAATTAAAACCTTTTTGCAAATTGTAAAACTTTTTGATAATTCTTACCCTTATAGGTTCATGAAACAACTTTCATAGCTTTCCCTTTCATAGAAAAAGAGACATTTCAAAATATCTTGAACTTGCTAATTTATATTACTATTACATGGCAAGAGGAGGATGTGGTTCACATTTCCTTGTTTCAAATTCAACTATCTTAAAATTAATTAGAATTCATATCCACTTTATATTTTTATTTACTAATGAAACTTCAAATTGTTTAGTATTTACCATGAAATGTGCTGTGGCAGTGCTAACTGCCACAAAATTGAGCAATTCGTTGAAAAAATTAGAGGACTTTTATTCTTTTTTTTTCTAGAGTAATTTAATAGTTGAGACTTTAAGGATAGAAAGGTGTTAGACTCCAATATGACCAGGGTGTGATTCTCAGGTCATCCATTGTGTTCTCCTGTGCCCTCCAATAGCTGTGTATCAGATATTTCGCCCAAAATAAAATGACTCAGGTCTAGATATGTGGAGCAGAATGGCTTTCAAATTTGCTCGACACATGAAGCAATTATAGAACTTGTTAAATCTACACAAATCCAGTAAGATACAACAGATGAATTTGGGTATGTCTGCAGCAACATCCAGGGATTTTTAATTTTAGTAAAATTTGTCATAATATTCGCTTCATTCTCAAGTTTGAGATCTTGTGTTGCTTTATATCCCAACACATCCCACATGATACCTATACTAGTTTTCATTCGAACATCTGAATATCAGATAAAACCTAGTAGTTTTATCTGAAAAAAATCACATTACTTCCAAAAGTCTCTAGAGCTACTGGTATATAAATCATTAGTTTCATCTCAAAACTCTAATCAATTAGTAAAACTATCTATGAGATAAATTTTATCTTCAGGTGCCAATCATAAATAATGCTACGTTTTTACTTTCCTTTTGTTGGTTCAATTGAGGAGGTGGGGCCCATCCTCAGAAGTGCTCAGAAAGCTCAGGGGTTCCACGGGAGGCTCTCCATCTATCAGCAGCAGTTCAAGGAAGTGCCGACAATGCCTCACTCTTTGGGAACCACATAGTGCAGCTAAATGAACCTATGTTACCTGCATGCTAGGCCTGAGACTTGACTACTGTACTTTTCTTTTGCCCAATAAACGATGCTATTTTTTAAGAAAAAAAAACTTGTTTATAAGCATCTGACATAAGTTATTATATAAATTAGAATCATACATATTCTTTATTTATTTGACATAGAGGCCTCGCAAATAATGTGCAGGGAATTCAGGGACAACTCCAAGTGTTGCTTGGTCAATTCATTAGGTAGTTCAAACCTCAAGCGACAGTGCAATACTGCTTGGGCCAGTGATTCTTCAGATTACCAGAGCTACCTCTGAGGTGCTAAGAGTATCCTGAGTTATACTTAAGGATGTTCATAAGGTCATGTAGTGTTAAAAAGTTTCATGCCTGCAAGACTTGTGCTTCAGACTTCAGCTATTACACCAGCTCTAGACCCTTACATTTTAAAGCATGATATCCTAAAATTAAGTTTTTATAACTTAAGAAAATATTAAATATTACCTGGAAATATACTTCTAAAACTCACCTGGATATGGTTTTTCTTGGAGATTTGATTAAGTTATTTAAAAACGTAACATAGTTAGTGATGATGAATTTCCAATCCATGTTTTCTTTATAACAAGGAGAATCCTCAGAGAAATCTAAATATAAAAGTATTTCATATATTAATTTTAAGTTGCATATAATAGACAAATTAATAAATACCATATTAGAATTCAGGTCACATGGTTGACATGAAGCAAATTTATAAATAATTCTATTATGATTCTTCTCTGACAAGATGAAATATTATTGCTCATCAATTAATTTAGGAAGCTGTTCCATTAAAGACAGGAACAAGGAAAAACCCACAACAGTATTAGGATGCTGACTTCAGACCACTTACAGACCCTAAAGATAGAATCAAAGTCTGGTGACATTCAGAGTTGAGAAAATAGTTCGTAGCAAAAAGGCAACAAGAGAACATAGGGTAGAGAATGAGAAAGGATTGGTCAGCACAGATTAAGTATCTTCTGTATGCCACCTATGAGTTTTCAACTGACTTGAGAATGATCAAAATAGCACAGCGGGTAGGGCGTTCGCCTTACAAGCGGCCAACATGGCCGACCCGAGTTCGATTCCTATGCCCCTCTCGGAGAGCCCGGCAAGCTACCGAGAGTATTCAATATGCCAGACACAGTAACAACAAAGTCTCCAATGGAGACGTTACTGGGCCCGCTCGAGCAAATCGACGATCAACGGGAGGGCCTTTACCTTTACCTTTATGTATGTAAAGAAAGTACCTAAGAGCAGAAAAAGAGCATCCATAGTTAAATGTGTTCACTGATGACACAGGACCAGAAACAGACTATCCATTAGGTAGATTTGAATTTTTTGGTAGACTTTAATATGAGATGCAAATAGGGTTTTGCCTTAATAATGGGGAACCTTTTAAAGTCATACTGCTCCAGTTTTATCTAACAAACCTGAAAAGCAGTACCCTAAAAAACAAAACTCTTCAGTTTGTAAGTTTTCTAGAGTAGCAATTAAAAATGACTACAAGATTTTATTTAAATTAGCATCCAATTGACATTTAACGGATATACTGCATAGCAATGTTTATGTGACCCATAATTATAATAAAAATTAATCAAAACTGACCCAAAATGGAAAAAATTTAGATATGCAATATATAGTTCAAAAACGCAAAACACAACATGTAGTTCTCAATTAAAATGCAAAACTTATAAGACTGAAACAAGATTCAATATTTTATGGTATAAATTAATGCACTTGAAAATAAATATGTCATCAAGTTCAAAGTAAGATGATGACCAGAATACTAATGAAAAGAAAAATATCAGAGCCCTGGTTCCAGAAAGTGAGGAAGCCCAGGTATTTGGCCCCTGATTTTGGTGAGGAACACCATCCCCATTTCCCATGAGCGCACAATTCTTCCTTTCTCTCTACTGAACTCACCATAAACATATAAGGACAGTTTATCTATAACACTTAACCATGCACAAGAAGCAATTCCAAACCACAAAAGACACAACGGTAAAGCAACACAGAACCCCAAGAAGCTTTGCGAGTGAAGATGTTAGACCTGATGATTCAAGCAGTAACTATAGAACCTCTCTAGAAAGGAATTTCTAGAGGAATTATTGAATATTTCTAAGGAGCTCAAAGAAAACCTGGAACACAGCACCAGTTAAACACAAGAGAACAGAATTAAAAATACAAACAAAAATGGCAGGTCTGAATAAATTGGTAGGTCAAATGAATAAAAACACTAGAGGCCTCAGCAGCAGAGTAGGAGTTGCTGAGGACGGAATAAGAGAGTTGCAATATGAGGTGCAGAAAATATCCAGGCAACAGCAGACAGTTAAAAAGACCTCAAAATGAACCAACAGATGACAAGAGAAGTTTGAGATGAATTGAAGAGGAACAGCGTAAGAATTATCAGGGTCCCAAAGGACCAGGAAGACAGCTCTGATGAAGAAGCAGCAGTTAAAGACATCATTGCTGAGAAATTCCCATAACTAAAGAGTGAATGCACCAGATCCTAAAGGAACAAAGGGTATCAGCCTAAAAAAACATATATCTAAATAAAAGTATTCTAAGACACATCCTAATAATAATGATGATATTATAGAGATATAATTCTACAGGCAACAAGATCAAAGAAGGAAATTATATACAAAGAATGGTCCTTAAGATTTATAGCAGACGTATGAGAAGAAACCCTCTGGGCCTAAAGATGTGATAGGATATAGTGAAAAACTTAATGAAATGAACACCTCGACAATAGTACTGTACCAAACCAGACTCTCATTCAGATTTGAAGGAACACACAACTTTACGATAAACAACTCAGGAACATCATAGACTAAATTTCATAATTACAAGAAGAACTAAATGGGCTATTTTAAGACAACACAAGCTCCACAAACATGCCAAAATCCTGCAGGAAGATAGCACAAAATTTGATAACAATAATTGCTCTCAATGTCAATGATATAAACACACCAATTAAGAGACAGAGTGGCAGGAAAGATTACAAAATTAAGCCCAAATCTCTGCATGAAACACATTTGCACAGTATAAACAAACAAGGGTTCAAAGTCAAAGGTTGGAAAACAATTCTTCAAGCAATAACCCCCTCAAAAAGGCCAGGATGGCCATACTTGTATCAGACAACATACCCTTAAGCATAAAAAAATAAGATACTGTGAAGGTCATTTCTTAATGATCAAGAGATATGTACACTGGAAATGAATTACATTCCTAAATATATATGCACCAAATGGGGGACAACAAAATACTTTGTAAAACACTGCTAATAAACTACAAGAAGGAAATTGATAGCACAAAATTAATGAGAGACTTTAACAGCTCTCTGTCACCTTTTGATGGATCAACAAGACAGAAGCTCAGCAAGGAAATACTTGGATTTGAGGGAAGAATTGGAAGACTTGGGTTTATTATTACATATAGGGCCTTTCATCCCCTAAAGACTGAATACACATTTTTCTTCAATACTCATGGAGAAATCTCTGATATGTGTGTTGTTGAAATTATTTACATGGAAGCGACATTTAATAATATTGCAAATAACAGTACCTCAATCATTAAAAAATGTTTTAAATGTGTATTAGACTGAACGAATAGAAGCTTGAGCAAAGTTCCATATAAAAAGCAAAGAACATAGAAAACATAAAGGACAATACTCAGACATAGAAAATGCTTATACAAACCAGAATTATTTTTAAATGCTCAATAATGATTAAACACAAGGGAGAAAAATAATTTTTTGTTTTCTTGATTTTTCTTGAAAACTACAAATCAGAAACTCACCCATGTGCTCAGAGCACAAAGAGAGACAGCTCTAATAAAAGAGAAATCTTACAACAGATACCAAAGAAACTATAATGATAAACTATTACTATAAAAAAAACTTTACGCCACAAAAATGGAGAACCTAAACGAAATAGATGTGTTCATGGACTCTTCCGCTGGGAGAGATAGCACAGCGGGTAGGGCGTTCGCCTTACAAGCGGCCAACATGGCCGACCCGAGTTCGATTCCCCCGCCCGTCTCGGAGAGCCCGGCAAGCTACCGAGAGTATTCAGTATGCCAGACACAGTAACAACAAAGTCTCCAATGGAGACGTTACTGGGCCCGCTCGAGCAAATCGACGATCAACGGGAGGGCCTTTACCTTTACCTTTACATGGACTCTTCCACTAAATCATAACGAAAAAGAGCACATCAACAAACAAATTAATTGCAAGGAAATTGAAAATTATGACATCAGATCATCATAGAGGAGATGAGCAACTACAGATATTTTCGAAAAAAAATAACAGTTTAAGGTTTAAAATGATGTAAGAACATTTCCCAAAAGGGTCTATCTGTAGATTGAAATGACCCAAAGAAACTCACTGCACTTCGTTTTTTAAATTTCTGGGACCTTGGCACTTCCCAGTTGGTGTTGGGTATCACTCCAGTATTGTTTGGAGAACAAAGCAGTGCTAATATTGTACCTGGGCTTTCTTCATGCAAAGCATAAGATTTTTTGAGATTTGGGGCACACACCAGTGGTGCTCATGGCTTACTTTTGGCTCTGTGCTTAGGCGTAACTCCTGGAAAACTCAGGAGATCATATTGGATGCCAGGAATTGAACCCATGTCCATCATGTGCTAGGCAAGCACTCTATTGCTATACTATCTCTCTAGTCCACAGTACCTATTTTTAAATCCCATACTAACTTAAATCTTCATGAAATTTTAGAATATTTGGGCTAAGATTCTTTAGCACTGAAAGGAAAGAAGTTAAATAAAATAATTTGAATCCTAATGCAAAAATGCTTATAATATTATAAGTAAATACAGAGTTTTCCTGACCTTTGCAAGATTTGTCACATAATAAATAAAAAAGCTATTTTTCATGCACAGAGACTACATAAATAAATACCCAAATGCATAAACCTCAGATATTCTAGTCTGTGACAAAGGTCATAGTCAGTGAATCAATTTTTAATGTTTATGTTTCATGGCTGCTTCTCCCATAAGGAAGCATAAAATGAGACCCCCATAACCATGCCACAGGGTTCTACACCAGGCTGTTTTCACTCGGGACACCCAATAGGGGGGCGGGTGAGAGCCCTCCCCACCTCAAGGGACCCAGCCCTGGCAGCCGATCTCCAACCACTGCCAAGCTCCAGGCTGCTTTACCCACACTCAGGCTGAGGCTCACATATGAGTGAACATATTCCTGGACCATCATAAGACACGCCCTACCAATTTTCTATAATTATCATACCATATTTGATGAGGTTCAGACATTAGGCAACAAATCATAGAGGGAAATATATATATATATATATATATATATATATATATCACAGTCACAGTCCTCCCGTTGTTCATCGATTTGCTCGAGCAGGCCCAGTAACGTCTCCATCGTGAGACTTGTTGTTACTGTGTTTGGCATATTGAATACCTCACGGGTAAGCTTGCCAGGCTTTGCCATGCAGGCAAGATACTCTTGGTAGCTTGCCGGGCTCTCCAAGAGGGGTGTAGAAATCAAACTCGGGTCGGCCATGTTGGCTACGTGCAAGGCAAACGACCTACCCACTATGCTATCGCTCCAGCCCATA